TGAATGGCAGCGCAGCCTTCCGGCGTATCAGCCACTCCTCCCAGTTTTGTGTCATCAGCGAACTTGCTGATGGTACACTCTGTCCCCTCGTCCAGGTCACTGATGAGCTACATTATTATGAAGAGCTACAGGTCAGAAATAGGAAGCCTGTTTTCCTTCCTTTCCCTTCCCCCTATCCTTGCCCAGGTATGATTTTCTCTAGCTGCAATATGAAAAGTAAATTGTTTAAAATATCAAAATAAAGGAAGGACCACAGGAGAGGTAGTAAGTCCATTAAACCCCAAGTGCAAAAGAGGAAGTCAAACAGGGTAAGATTGTTTCATAAAACTAAATTGTTTCTTTACATGAGCCTTCAGAGACAAAGATGAGAACACCTGCCCTGGGATTACTCTTTCCACGTAAAGCAGAATCAGGCTAGAAACAGAGAGGTTAAAAAAAAGTTTGCGAAATTAAAATGGCAATAAGGACACTGTTTCTTCAGGTAAATTAACTGCTGATGATGAAGACATCAGCCATCCCCTGCAGGAGGAGATCCTGCCCCTACCCACCTTAGCTTTGCCCTGAGGTGTTTGAGGAGGGCAGAAGGAAGGATAAGACTGAGAAAAGTTCCAGATACCCAAATCCCAGAGACACATCCCCCTCTTCTGTCCACAAAAGAGGAAAGTCCCAGACCTCCACAGTAACTACCCAGGGCGCCTCAGCCCTGATGCAGAGGCCAGAAGCAGCAGCAAGAAAAGCCCGTTTCTCGCCTGCAACTGTGTGATTATGGACTCATCTGCAGAAACGCTAACTAGTGCCATCTGCAGTGACATTTTTGGGGGAGAGGAGAAGTCAAGCGTTAAGACAGAACCAACTCTGGCTGCATAGACTTCTGAAAAGCTGTCAGCTGCCAGCATAGGTTACAATCACAATTCACCCTGGACACATTTCAAGTTAGTGACTGGCTCCATGATCTACCCTAATCCTTTAAACCACCCAATCATTTAAGTGACCAGGCTTGATCTTGGTTCCACCCACAGATCAGACACTGAGTAATCCCATAGACACCTTAAGAAAAATCACCTGTCCTATTTTAATTTGCTTTCTGTGTATTACTTAAAAACGTGCTGAAGTAACCCACTGCAAAAAATATATATATATATATACTCTTTCTATGGAACTGGAGCTCCATTCACATCTGTCTTT